AGGGAGCGGTACGAGATTGACATCATGGGGCCACGAGATAGGGAATGGCCCGAGGGGAAAATCAAACTTATTTGCTTGCCCCCACGATGTCGTCCATACCATTCTCCACTGCAAAGATCTGGCCGAGAACGCACTCGATCGACCAATGCCGAAATCGAAACCTAGATTGGCGTCATTGGCTCACCGGGCTGGCCCGATTACTCGCTCCTACGAGACGCATACGATTTCCTTGTGTAGACGACACCAACACACCGAAACCGAGAACCGAAGTGCTCTAGGAACGAGTCGAAAAATCAACAGCGTTTCGACACCACCAGGCGTTGGATCATCGCTCGACAGCCTGTCAGTGTCACAGTTCAAGTCCGTGTCCAGTGCCAGACAGACAGGGTCATCCATTCGTCCTTGGCCAAAAGCTGCCGGCGGGCGCAATCTTATGTGCGCCAGCGCTACTGCTGCGGCCCAAAGCCTCGTTTTTTGCACGTCTGCAGATTGCAGTTGTCTCCATTACGATTCGAATGAGCGGCGCGCCTCAGGATGAGTAGGGCAAGGTGCGGTCTTGGCTCCCGAGAAGCGGTCACTGACGGACGTTGGCGAGAAAACCCATGTCCATGCTACCGGACCCGGGTTGCGCCTTGGGTTTTCTCCCGTCCGGGGAGTTGCCAAAATCTTTGTCAGATATCACAAAAAACTCTGGTGCCAATACAGTCAGAAGTTTAAGGGGGAAACATTCGGATGTCATTTGTCGGTTGGAGTCGAGTGAGGGTTGCGTATGGCTCAATTGGCTCTGCCAAAAAGTCTCTTGCCTACGCATAGCAGATATGACAACATGCGACAACCCGTTCGTGCTGTTTCTCAACCTTCTCGTCCCTTTCTTCATGTTTGTCTCGACTCTCAACCTTCGAGTCAGACGACACTGCTAAACTCAACGTGTGATGAGTGTATCATTGTCAGCTGCTATGACGGGAGGTTGCGTTCGGAGAATACGCGAGACCCGAGATGTTTACACGACGTAGGCGACACCTTCCCATTATTACACCACTTTCTCTGCTTTCCAAGCAATGTGTTGCCAGCGTTCAAGTCATCAAGCATATCCGTTGTTGCAAGTGTACACCACTACAACCATACATAACGGAGCGACCAGATGGTGCGCAAGAAAACGTTGCGAGAAGTGTGGATCTCATTTTCGGGATTTGAACTTGTCACTCCAATGGGGGCCAAGACCCAGATGATTGTCCTTGGCGGTCAAGGTGTGACTTGGTGGACTTGGTGGGATACTCAAAGAGGGCAATCCGAGGTTAGGGCTAACAGGAGATACATCATATATACTTAAGCTGCCGGCTGAACCACCGGCGCACGAAAGTAACTCATATCCATATTCGAGTCTCTTCTGCTCCCGTCATTCAGTAATTCGGATAGCTCTCACATCACGGCCGTACAACGGCCTATTTTCCACTGAAGAGGACATCAGGGCTGTCACGGGGCCCCGGCCATGCAGTGGATGTTCCCAAAGGAATGGCACGCTGGGCCGGGAGGAGGCTTTTCTTGCAAGGGTCCTGACGATGGATATTTTTTTTGTGGTCTTGAATGTTGAACTTGCGTTGAGTCTCGAGACCGCGAAAGTGCGAGACTATCAAAGGATTTCTATCCCTCAGCCCGCATTTGTATATCAAGTCCAATAGGCACTGGACGCTTATTGTATCCGCCAAGTTCTGACCTTGGTAGGAAGAGATTCTGCCTCGGAAGCCCAGCTGTATCGCTTGATGTTCGTGAGCAATCTGGACTCACTAGGGCGGGCAACTCTGGTCAGTGCCCGCTCGTTCGTTCTTGACAAAAGTTCTTGCACTTAATTAGAAGACTTCTCTTCTCGCCATTTGTAATCCCTCGGCCGGCAGTTGAGATGGTCTAGCATCTCTTGCTTTATCTGCCCATCATCCTATCCCCTCCTGCTACGTACTAACATTCCTGGTCTGGTCCACGATGCATACAAGGTTCCCAGCCATCTCCTGGTAATCCGGAATACGGAAACGCAAAATGAAGCAGGCAACACACATGCTGCCATGCATGCGACTGCCATTCCATCTCAGTCCACGACCCCGTCTGCCCGCTGTCATTCATCCACACATCGACCGACCGAGGGAGCATCGTCTCGTCTCGTCACGACACCACGAAGAGTCTCTCGATCCAATGATGGATACCGTTTAATAATTGCTACCGGGTCGTCCGACCCCAGCTGCAACTCGACTGGCCCCCAATCCCGCCCGCCCTAGGGAGCCAATTTCCACAGGTCTGAAAAGCAGGTCCAGCCAGTTTCGACAATTGATCTCACCAGCCGCCCGGAGCGAACGGGCGGTCGAGGTTCTCGTTGCCAGGACCGGAAATAACGCCTCTGCACATCCCTCCCGTCGGCCCATTCGCGTCCATATCGTGGGATTTACATGATCGTCGGACGGATGGTTACCTAGTTCCGCCGTTCGCCGACCGCGGGCCCATCTCCCTCCGGCCATCGATTGACTTCCTCGCCTCCTAGCCCCGCGCCCGCGTCCCTCAGTCGCCCGTAGCACCGTGGGCTTGGAACGCCTTGGCGCCGTGCTTTCTTCCTCTCGTACTGCACCCTGCACGCCACCTTACGGCGTGCGCTATTGTGTCATATCGTCGACGTACTCAAGGCTGCTGGGCATGCCAATGTGCCAAAAGATGGATCATAGGTGATGGACAATATTGTCTTTTTCATTTGATTCCCATCTGAGGCGAAACAATAGGCCCGAGCTAGTCTCAGCCTCCTAAACCACAACAGCCTAACTCAACTCAACTTCCAGATGAGACCAAGAAGATCTTCCCCCATTGAGGTGATGGAGGCGCGGGTACCTCTGCCTACTCGCCTTGATGCCCTACTGAACCCACAAGTTAGGGACTACAATCCGGGGTCCCGAGCGAAGACGAAATGGATGGGACGATCCGGAACCGCTGCTTTTCTCGGGCGTTTAGGTTGCGGTTCTCTTGCAGCGATCGCCCGAAGTCCCGGGGACCTTTTGCTCGACTATCAACAAGTAGACGGCAGCAGACAGCAGTAGCAAATAGAGGCGTCCGGGATAAGAATTCCTTTCTCGCGGCACACACGCCCGTTTTCTGCCATATCTCAGCTGATGCCCGGCAGACTAGCGCCCACTGCCTGCATCATGCCGTGTCCTGCGAGACCGGCCTCCTCCAGTCCCTCTCGCTGTGGGACATTCGGCGCCGAGCTGCCAATCTCCGTAGCCTCTTGCTTCGGGAACAGATTCCAGCGGCTAAAGATTGGTGCGATGGAGATCTTCGGTGCCGGCTTGCGCTAGGAAGCGCCATTTGCTCGAGCTGGACAATCGGCCGACGGTTCTCTGTTAGCCCCGCCTCGGCCCTCTGTGCTCCGATCATGTCTTCCTATGTATCAGCTTCTCACTCGCCAAACATGAGCTTGGCAGACCTTTCTCTCTTTGGCCATCTCGACAAGAAGCATACGCAACCATCTGCACAAACACGAGTCAAACGTTGATATGATCGTCACTGTCCCAAGCCTCAACTGCTGCACGTCTGACGCTGGACTTGGAGCAAACAAGCAGGAGGATCACGCGGCAGGCATATCCGGCGCCGTGCTCATCAATGCTCACCGCATTCCGGCATGAGCGCACATATCCCAATCGAAGGGCCATTGGTGGATTTGCTCGCTGTGCCTGCAGTTGCGGGCCAACGTCCCCTCTGTCGGTTTACTTCTGCATGTTCTACGGGGTCTAGAAGGACTTTAGCCGCTCGAGAGCCGAGTCTCTTACATTTGTCGGGTTCTTCTCGCATACCGGCGTTCCAAAGTAGTGGATCGCATGCGCTGTGCCGCAAGCATGCATCGCGGCCAGCATCTTGACTTGACGTCCCAAAGGACCTTCCACAATGCCTCATTGGGGCGGGGTTGTACACCTACGTATCCTTGGATACATCGAATAATTATTGGCTCCATGTCTGCCTCGAAGGTAACGATCTCTTTGCGTGGGGTGACGGAACCTAACCGGCCTAACTCCTCTCTAGATCAAATCTAATATGAGCGAGTCGTGATACTGAATGACTGAACCAATTCAGCTAGCCTTTGCATCTTGGCGAAAAAGCCTGCCACCATGGCTCAAACAGCAAGTCTCCTATGAAAGCCAAGGCTGATATCCGTCCATCATGATTCAGCCGGGACGCCTTACGCTTCCCGCAAGCCAACCTAACGAAAGTGGCTTGGAAGCCATCTGCTATTTGTGTCCAACATCTTTGGTATCAAAGGCGCCACGACCTCATTCCTCGAAACTCCTCTTCGATTGCACAAACGCCGCCAACAGCACCCAACCCAATACGGCTTTCCCAGCCGAGTGGTCCACCGTTTCCCGCACATGCAAGTAAGCCGAGGCGCCTTACGCCGAATCCTTGGGCAATACTCCCGCTGGTGCCGTCCTGTTGGGACACTCCGGATTAGGAAGATCGGTCGGTTGGCGTCTTGCTTAATCTCAGGGACAGCAATTGCGCTCATCTGAGTTGTCGTGCCATTGTCTATGCAGCTGCTTGACGCAGTGCTGCAGGGTAAGGAACAATAGAACGAGAATATGCCCGGCCGGTTCTAAATTGCTTCCCGCCCAACCCATTGTATCCTCAATACGACCCCCTCTGTGAATGAGGGTTTTTGGTGTTGTCATGCAACCCTCGCGAGTCTCTCTCCCGCTGACTTGCAGAGCCAAGAGCAAATCAACGACAAACATTGCCTGCGCGTCTGAGTCGGTGGCGCCATCATCCCCTTTCCTCCCTCCCATGTCCTTGCCCTTTCTTCTCGTTTTCTTTCACCGCCAGAACGGAACCTCTCGATGGCCATTCCGAGGGAATGGTTAAGCTAGCCAGCCAAGGCTGACGCGACCGAACTTTATTCCAGCCGCAACGAGCAAGCCGGCCGTCCGTCGGTGGGCGTCGGGCGTCATTCTGATTCATTCAGCCCAGATGTCTTGGGTCTAGCCAGCCCTATCCGCTGTCGCCGTCGTATGTTTCGGGCTCCCTTTGAACCTCTCCGCCAGCCTCTCCGGAGTACTCCTGAAAGCCCTGGGAAACCAGCCGTCAATGTCTCGATCGTCCCGCCCGTCGATCATCGCGGCCAGCGCCTTCGCACACGTCCAACACATGACCATCCCGTGCCCCTGGAAGCCCGCGCACACCCACAGCCCGTCCTCGCCCGGCACTCGGCCGACGAACGGGAACCCGTCCGGCGTGAACCCCATAATGCCCGTCCACTCAGCGCGCACCCTCCCACCGGGACCGTCCTCGCCCCAGCTCGCGCCGAAGTACCGCGGCGTGGTCTCGCGCAGGTATGAGCTGACGGCCGGGTTCAGCTGCGCGTCGTTCACGACGCCGTACTCCTCGAGGCCCTCGTCCGGCAGGCGGGCCAGACCGCCGCCGATGACGATGTCGCCTGCGTGAACCGTCCCGCTCGGCTTGGGAATCATGTATTCGAAGCCTCCGGCGTAGATGAAGCTGTAGGTACTCGGTAGGCTGTCGCGAGGCATGTTGGAACCGGGGCGGTGGGCGGTTACTTGACCCCGCAGCGGCACGATGGCGCCCTGGAATTGTGGTTGGAGGGATGCGGTGTAGCCGTTTGTTGCGAGGATGACCCTCCGCGACGCGATCATTCCTCTGGGGGTCTCAACCTTCCACTGATAATCATCTTCAGTGTCGTCCCTCTTGATGCTCAGAGCTGGAGTCTCGGTGAATAGCCTCATGCCCTTGGCAACGCACATCTCCAACACGCCAGTGGTGAACCGGTAAGCTGAAATGCTGCCGGCTTCGTACCCGACTCCCCCGCACAATCCCTCCCCTTCGACGTGGAACCTGTCCCTCATCTCTTCGACATCGTAGAACTCATACCGTGAAGCGTCCTCATCAGGCATGGCTTTCCTCATCGCATCCACCGCCACCTTCGCAGCCTCCCATTGCTCGGGGTCATAGATCGCATCAACGGTCTGACACGGCCTACTCTCCGTGTCCTTGAGATGAGCCGCGGCGAAGGCGTGCACCGCGCGGATGGTCGCCAGCTCGAGGCGCGCGATGAGACATGCTTGCTCGGTGCCGAGAGCGGACGCGTGGTGGAGGAAGGATCGGTAGGATGCGGCTTTGGTGTGTCCTCCGTTCCGGCCTGTCGCGCCCGAGGTCACGGTGCGGGCTTCTAGCATTGTGAGATCCGGTGGCGATGCGGACGATTGGAGGAAGTGCGCGATGGCGGCGCCGGTGATGCCGCTTCCGATTATCAGAGTGTCGGTCTTTGGCGGGAGGGCGCCGGAGGTGTGCGTCGCGAGAGGGGAGGGTGGGTTTTGCCAGTAGCTCGGGGTCGGGTTCGGTATCGGCGATGCCACTGGCACTCGAGCTCGCTCGTCCATTTTGGTGGTGTGAAGGTAAGGACTTTGGGATGTCGAAAAGAGGCCGTCAAGATTGCTTTGTTAAACGTAAACCAGACTGGCTCCTCATGGGGTGAGGTGCGGCCGGGATGGTGTCAAATGAAGATCTTCCGGAAGATCCTGGATAGTCAGGTTTCGTGCTACACAGATCGATGAATTCGGACAACAAAGCCCTTGTTGTCCATGATCACCGTGACACGGCTTGAAGAGGCATGTCGGTGCGGGAGATCACCCCGCTCCAGAGATACGGTGCGGGGATCGGCGATGTGGAGCCCGCGCCGGTTGGACATCAACCTGGAGTGGGTTCCTCATGACTTGTTTGAACATCACCACCCATCACGCAGGCAAGGCTCTGCTTTTAAGAGCGAGAACATATTTATATAATTCGTAAGCTTTTAAGGAATTAGTGAATATATATTTCATACTAACTACCCCCGAGAGATAATCTGCTGGTACATGCCCGATTGAAAATCGGCCGATCGGAGTTCCCATCGAACATCGCGGGCGGCGGGGCAGACTCTTGCTCCCGCCAACCACGGCTGTGTTCTCTCAGACCCCGAAACGGAAATTATCAGCAAGAATAAGTCCTGGATAAGTTGACTCCCTCCTACGTTTCCTTCCAACTTTCCGCCACACTCCTCCAACAGTACACCTAATTAAGCAGGGAGCTGATGCTCATGCTTCTGTCGATGAAGTCGTTGGCCGCCGTATTAGCAGGCGAGTTGACGGGCGCCCTTCTGGGCATGTTTATAGGCGTCCACCCCGATGGGTGCCTGGCGGGAGCAGCAGAGTCCATGGACTCCAAGAAGGCACCAGCTGTCGTGGCCAGGGCCTGAAAAGCTGTATCTCCCTCAGTACCTGCAAGGTTGGCAGGCATCTGGGCGGGCTCTCCCGCGATTTCCCTGCTGGACAACGGCTCCGTGAACGCATCAAATACCACACCTCCCTGAGGTCCCTCGGGGTTCGCCTTGGGAGCAGGCCCGGAGCGTTCCTCGGAACGCGTTCCCTCGGTGGCCTCCAAAGGCAAGAAGGCACAAGCTGCCGCGGCCAGGATCCGTAGACGTGTCTCTCCCTCAGTACCTGTAGTGCTGGCAGGCATCGAGGCGAGTTCTCCTGCGGCATCTATGCTGGACAACGGCTCCGTGAACGCATCAAATACCATACCCAGTTGAAGCCCCTGGGAGTTGGCCTTGGGAGCAGGCCCGGAGCGTTCCTCGGGAGGCGTTACCTTTGTGGCCTCCAAAGGCTCGTTATCGGGCTCAGAAGCCCGCGCCTCAGTCCGTGGTGACGCCTTACGCCTGGTCTTCCGACATTTCGCAGGAGGCTTCTTCTTGTCGTCCAAAACTGTGTTGCTCTCAGTTTCGGCCTTTTCCTGCGCTGCCGATGACCGTTTTTTCTTCTTTGATTCCGGGTTCAGAGAGCAACCCTCCTTCATGGAGACACAGTGTCCGCATGATTTGTAGGTATCCCAGACCATGCATCTGTGGTCGGGATTCTTCATCTTCTTGCAACGGATGCAGCTCTGCTCCCACGGCAAAGCCCTGCCGTTTTCCGTAATCTGTTCAGCCCTATTATGCTCAACTTGGAGCTTCCGCGTGATCCATTTCCCCTCGGGGCCGCATTCTCTGGTGCATTTACGGCATACGCACGTGCACCACTCTGTGGGCTTAGGAGACTTCTTCTTCCTCGAAGTCTCTTGAGAAGGTGCCTCTTGAGAAGTTGCCTCTTGAGGAGATGCCTTTGGAGAAGATGCCTTTGGAGAAGATGCCTCTGGAGAAGATGCCTCTAGAGAAGATGCCTCTAGAGAAGATGCCTTTGTAGAAGGTTCCCCTTGAGAAGTTGAGCCTTGAGAGGCCGTTCTCGAGTTATCGGCTTCCTTGGTACCGGGCTCAGGGGCCTGGGACGTTGTGGCTCTGGCTTTCGAATTTCGAGCTGCCAAAGGAAATGGGCCACACACCAGAAGATTTAGCGCCTCGGCTGCATTGTGTTGATTCTTCGTCGGCGGCCGGTTCACTGGTCCGCCGGATGGAAGAGGGGTCCTCTTCTTTACCCCCGGGGCCGAAGCAGGCTTCGAGTTGGCGTTGTCCGCCATGTTGGTGCTTTGAAACCTACCCAAACGAATCAGTAGGAACCGATGCGTGCTTGAAACTGGGATCTTACAACACTGGACTTTGCGTGGGATATTGGTACCGAAGCTCGGGCTTGGGATACTTGGAACAGGCGTATATTCGAAAAGAGCAGTTGATAATGTTGTGGTTAAAGTCTTTTCGGTAGCATAGTCCCTGGGGTGTCAATACGGTCCTTTATATGCTCGGGACCAGGACCTGTCGGAGATGCCACTACGTCTGCTCGATATTTACTGATTGAGTCCAAATAGAGCTTGAGGAAAGTTAGAATAATGCTCCCGCTGCACCATCAGACATTCGGAGATGGCTTTGGGCGATGAACCTGTCAGCTGAGCCCCTCAAATCGTTTATATCAGCGAGGCTGAGGCACATGGTTAATGAGGAAGGCGGTTCATCTCAAAAGCGTGAGTAACCGGAGATGGCTCGTTGGTTCAAATTACTGGTAAACACATGAGATCTTTGCGTAAGATTACGTGCTCATTTACTTGTAGTCTTTGTTTATTGCCACCGCGCAGACTGTTGAGGGCTGAGTATGATGTTTGTTGTCCCGTCCGGGTGTCAATGTGTGCCGGGCCAGCGAACGAAGCTATCTCCGACGTCATGAGGAACCTTGGCTTCCCCGAGCCGTGGATTATACGCTCTACCTATTGAACGGTTCTGTATCATCCAGGTATTTGAGCGACCAGGCTCATGGGAAGGCGGCGATCAAAGGCGGCCGTGCATTAAAAATACAGAACATCGATTGCCAAATGTGAATGATGGTCGAGGACAACATGTGGTTGAACTAGACGCAGATTCGAGTCTCGAGAACCTTTTGCCACACTACGTTGAAGAACCCAATGAGTTAAATAACCCAAATGAGTGGATACGGCTTTCGGATTTGACATGCAAGCTGAGCTTCCTTCTACTCGGTTACCTATTCCACGGAGAGAAGGCTAACGAGGGCCTTGGTTCTCGAAAGGCTTTTCCTTGGGCCCCCCAGGCACTTTTGAAATGTTAATAAGTTACCTAGCAGAAAGTATAAAAAGAAGTAAAAGTCAGTCAAATCTCTTCAATTTGCGTGGCTACGCAGTTGGCAGTGTCTCTGTGTAAGTCTTGCAAGTAAATGATTGGTTCGTGTGCGTCGTAGCATGGTTGAGCAAGTCTTCCAGCGAGACCTTGACGGTTCGATCGTGACACCTGGAGTGCATATCCCATTCAGTGCAAAACGAATTGTGCCTAAATTTACACTAAAACAGGCTTCTTGGATTTTTTTTGATTAGATCAAAAAAACTCCCAAATGAATGCACAGGCTTACTTCGTATCTTTTGGCGTTATGGCACTCGATGGGAGCCACGAGCTTCCAAAATCTTATTGTGATTAGTGTTAGGTATTAAACTTACATCGTGTTCAGTGTGGGAAGCATTCCTCAAGGTGTGACTTCTTGTTTTTGCTTCTTCTTTCTCCATAACACGCGATTACCACGCTTTCCTCCTCAAGCTTCATGTGTTTCAATCTCCATCATGAATCTGAGCGCGACCGTGGACATCTCAACATTCATGTAGTTTGGCGGAAGTCAAAGACAAATTTCTGATAGTGTATTCACTCGTATATACGCCTGTAGTTGAAGCTTCCCCTTTAACAATACATCTCTGATCCAAATAGAAATGAGAAAATGCCTGTTCAAAGAGCGCTTTAGTTTCGATCATTACTGCTTCTCGTTCTGCGCGTAAATGAAGTTCGCGGCTAGTTACTAATTAGTATCAAGTATATGCGAAACATAGAATCATGAGCCTACTGACCAACAGGGATGAGACCGTTCTCTTTGGCCCAGTTCCGCACGCCACGTCCCTCCTTCCCACCCCAGTGTTTGCGCTCCTCCGGCTTTGACAGGTTCAGTTTCTCGGTGGTACCGTTGGCGGGGACCCAGGAAAGGAAGACGTAACGGTGCTTGCCCGTCTTCTCGGGCGGTCCAGGAGGCTTGTACTCGACAACGTCCTCGACAGCGGGCTTGGCTCCGGGAGACGAGGCGGATACACCGGTGGCAATCCAGTGACAGAACTCGGACCACTTCGGGTCGTCCCGCGAGGGCGCGTCCGGGTCGGTGAGGGTGAGGACGTATGTTGTGTGAATGGTGTTGCCGCCCATTGAAGATCCGCCGACGAGCGTCACCGACGGAGCAGACTGAAGATCGGCGGGCTTGAGAGTGTTACCAAGGTTCGCCGCGTGTGATGAGTCCCATTCTGCGGAGAGGCCCAGGATAGGCTGGAAGTCGTCAATGACCGTCGGAATAATCTCCGCCTTGGCAAGTCTGCGAGCTGATTTAGTCCCATGTGGTTGAGCGGCATTGAAGGATGACGTACTCTTCGTGGACGCGAGTCAAGTCCGCGTTTCCATTGAGAACGAACTGGGCTTCCTGCGCGGGCTTCGGAGCCGCGGCAACGGTGCCGCACAGGGCGAACGCTGCCAGGAGCTTGCCTGCAATTGATCCCGCCATTGCTTCGAGACCTTTCGTTGGAGTCGCTACCGCTGATAATCGATATTGCGGCGAAGGAAGATCTGAAAGCTTTGAGTCCGGAGGGGCTTTCAAATGGAGGAATTAGGCGATGGTATGATGGTACGACGGTTTCAAAGGGAGGCGGAGGACGTTGGAGTGATGTCATTCGGATTCGGTCTGGCGTGCTCTTCCCCGCGCGGGCCCCCTGTCACCGGCACCCGCACCGGCCGGCGTTTCTTCAGCGGGTCCGATCACCAGCAACTCTAAGTCAGCCCCGAGTCCGTTGCTTCGAGTTTGAACGACAATCGCAATATGATCTCCAGTTCATATACATCAAGTTGGAAGCGACCAAGCTTCTTCTGTAACCCTCATCGGCTCTCGAGATTGCCGGAGATGGCGCTTGTGTGTGTTGCCAAGAAGAGTGGAACACATACCGATACGCCTCACGCAGGCTTCCTCTCGTCAATCATACCTGACTATGTATATAGAGCCCGGAGTTGAATTTACTCGGCTGACTTCGAAGGAGCATCTTGACTTCTGCTAGGGGAAGAGACCTGGCAGGTAAGTCCATACATTCTAAGCATGTTATGAATATAGAACTGTGCCCCTCCTGTGACTCAGTGCACTCAGTTCGATAGATTCAACTGGTTACATGCAGTAACAATAATTGGCTTCCGGGAGCTCAGTCTATAAGACTTCCCGAAGCAAATGATTCGCTGCAGCTGCAGCGACTTTGATGTCACTTACGCCCATCTGTTTGTATGCGTTTTATATGTGGCTGTTCGTACTTTACAGACTGCCAGGACTTGGAAAGACAAGACTTGGATGCCTTTGGAAGAGGTCGATGTCAAAAAGAGCGGTTTCCAGTTAGGCAACACTTTGAACCACACCTCCACTCAAAACAACACGTAGATGCTGTTGATCATTCGGTGGCACAGTCGTCAACTTGTCACCATTGGCTGAATTCGGTTTCAAAGAGCCACTCCATCGTTCAGGTGCAGCCAGATCACCCGCCGCCCTAAGGTCGCGAGATGAGGGTGAGTAGGTAAGCCGGGTGAGCCAGGCATCTTTGCAGGTTGTGGAAATTTGAAATCCGGATTCTTTTAATAGCAGCATATTCATACGTCTCAGGTTCTCATATCTTCAGCAAATAGAAACTTACACTAAGAGGGGCTATTCTGCCTAATGCGGTTTATAAGCGCTAACGCTCTCTTGATAAACCAATAGAAAAAAAGCGGTTAAGCAGCCAGAAGCTCCAAATTCCTTGGTCCACCTGTGCATCCACCATCCCATCCATCCCATTCATCCATCCCATTCATCCATCCCATTCATCCACTCATTCATTCATCGATTCGTCCTACACCCTCTCCTTGGCCTATAACCCATCTCTCGCCTCCTTTCAAAATCGACGCTATAGATCCAAAACACATATCAATTTTTGACACCTTACTCAACCAGTTTCGCGATAGGACATTATCTGATTCTAAGCTGCGTCGTAAACTAGAAAACACCGGGATTCTACTTTAAGACCCACCACACAAGCCACAAGCTCCTTAACCAACAGTAAGTCGACATAACTCAGCAAAAAAACACCTCAACATCATATAAAAGAACTTTAGAGATATAGTCTGCTATCTTTATTTATTTATATATAATATTACGCCTCTTAGTAGTAATTAAGAAGATCTTAATAAAATTATAGAAAAATAGTATAGTAAAGTTACTATACTCTTTAAATTTACTAAAAAAACGTAAATTATAGTAATAAATTGATTTATTAAAAGTAAACTAATAGAATACTTAATAATATCTAGTTAGAAACGTTATTAATTAGAAAAAAAATAATTTAACTAATAATAGTTATTTATTATTAGAAATAGGTGAGATAAATAATAATTTAAATATAATATTAAATAAGTTAATAGTAGTAACGTCTATAATAAGTAAGTAGTTTAGATAAGCGAGTAGTTTACCTTCTTATTATGCCTTAAACCTACTTATTTTAACTATTTTTTAAAATTTAAATACTATTCTATATTATATAAAACTAAAATATATACTTCTAATAAGAGTTTTATTTAGCTTATTAAATCTATAATATTACTAGTAAGCTTTATATTTATAAAGTGCTAACTTACTCTTATTAATAAGGTATAGTATTAAGTTTACTATTATATATAGTAAAATAATTACTTATAACTTAATATTCTATATCTAACTCTTATTAAAACGTATATAAAAGGTTATATATATTTTAGAGTTATATTTAAATTCTAAGAAATAGTTAAAGTAAGTAGGTTTAAGGCATAATAAGGAGGTAAACTACTTACTTATCTAAACTACTTACTTATTATAGACGTTAATAATAATCCTAAGATTAATAACCTTTTTATTTAAGACTTTTATAATTTTTAAAAAAAAACTAGAAGTAAGATTAAACTAAGTTAAATTACTTATTTAGGTTACTTAACGCTTTACTTTAAAAGATATTAAAATAAAAGACATTAAAAATATTAATAATAATAAAAATATTTTAAACCCTTTAATAATTATATAGTTAATTAAGGTATATATTCTCTCTATAACCTATAGTAAGTACTATATGCGCGCGCTAGCAGCATAAGCGCTATAGTATATATAGTAAATAGTAAGTATTATAATAACGTAATTAATAAAAGGTATATATAGTTATAAGTGAAAACCTCTAATAGTAATAAACACTCGCCCGCACCTATACTTAATAGAAAATAAGTAGCAAAGTTATAGCGCCCCTATACGTAGCGCGCAAATAGGCGTAGTACTAAGCAAATAGTACTTCTAGGAGGCGTATATACACACGTGCGATTTCAGCTTGCAGCGGCGCTAATATTGCCGTGCACTAGGCCAAAACGAGCTAAGCGCGACGCACGGACCGCATCGCTTATATAGCGTTATATAAGCGCGGCGGTCTATGCACTGTGTGGTTAGGTATAAAGGTAAAGCTAAAACCTATAGGCTATATAGGATTTAAACCTATAGCTACTGCGCGTGCGCGCGCAGTAGCCAGCTAGGCTAATAACTACTCAGCTAGCTGCCTAAACCCTTTAATAATAATATAAATATATAATATTATAATAACTTAAATATTAAAAAGTCTTAGCCTTTATAGTAAAATATATAAAATAACTATATTAAAAGATTTCTATATACTATTTAACCTTAAGTTTAAAGGTATAGAAGTTTTAATAGTCTCTATATAAAGCGTATATAGCTTATAGCCTATATACTACTTATAAGTACCCCCCTTCTTAGCTAGCTTATCTTAAGTCGTACTAAGAGTGCGCTAGCTACTATACGCCTAGGTGTTATAGCTAGCTAACTAATAGTAGAGTTTATATTAGTAGTAAGTTAGGTAATAATAATAGTAATAGTTATTTATTATTCTATAGGTCTAATTAAATAATTATAGGTCCTTAAAGAGCTTAATAATTAGTTAAGTCCTTAATAAGAGTTATAGAGTAATTATTACTTAGGTATAAGTAAAAGTCTTAAGTAAGAATTATAAGTTAATTACTAAAGAGCTATAGAAGTCTAACCTTAAGTAGACTTAAGCTTATCCTATATATAAGTCTTAAATAGTTTCTTTATTTTAAGGACTAATATTTTATTATTAGTTCTAATAAATAGACTGCTCTTAGTATATTAGTCTATATCTCTATTTAGTCTCTATAACTACTTATTAAAAGTTAGTTCTTTTTATTATTATATAACTTATACTATAGTTCTTTTAATCTAAGTAAGCTTCTTATATTCCTATAATCCTATATATAAAGGTGACGTTCTAACTGCTTAGTATCTATATAGGGCGTTCTTTATTCGTTATGCCCTATAGGTTATAATAGTTACATAAGTAATAGAGAATATTTTACTATTTATAATTAGTAACTAGTTAGGCTATTTAGTAAAGAGTCTTACTAATAAGTATTAAAGTCTTTTAGCTAACTTTCAAAAGCTAAAAATACTATTATAGGTATATATAGTATATAATAATTAGTCTAAAATAATATTAGTATTAAATAATATATAAGATAAACTTTAATATAAATTTATATACTTATAGTTAATTTAAGAGAGGGGCTTCCTATAAATTAACTAGATAAAAGAGCTATAGCTTAATAAGGTAGCTAATAGTTAATATATTATAGAAGCTAATATAGCTAATAATATTAAGCCCTTAACTAATAGTAAAGTAGAGTTAGTAAACCTATTACTACTAGCTCCTCTATAAGAACGTAAGAGATATATACTATATAACCCTAATAATATATATCTACTAACTAATTTAATACCTAATATACCCTTATATTTAATACTAATAAAGCGTAAGTTAATAAGGATAAGAGTAAAGAGGGTAGAGGTATTAAATACTCTTAGAGAGCAGCTTAAATATAGGCTAGTAAGTATAGGTACCCTCTTATTTCCTTAACTAATAGAGGCTCTAACGCGCTAGAAAGAAGGATCTAGTAATATTAACTAAGTAATTAGAGATTTTTAGTTATTATTTAGAAATAACTTAAATTAAGTAGTAATAATAAAGATAGTACGTTTTCTTACTTTAGATTTATAAAGTAGTTACCTAGTTAAGTATTAAATTAGTTAATATAAAGGAGGCCTTTTTATATAAGTGTTACAACCCATTAGGCATAACCAACAAAGGACGCCCCACTAGGATACTGGGCGGTTATAACAACACATTTATATGCAGGATCACGGGAACACGCAAGGATCCCTCAGGAACAGAAGAACTATAGTATAGGTTACGTGACGATAAGATAAAAGATTAGATCTATATAATTAAGATACAGCATCTATATTCCAGAAAGACGGAAGCCGTATGCCAAGGATACGGGAGCCGTACAGGGCATGTACGGCACCCAGCAATAGGACTACCTAGGACCTATATATAGGATAGACTTAAGCCCACTCAAGGACAAACTTCTATAGCTCTTTAGCAATTAACC